CAAATGTCTATCAGCCTCAACCAGTATATGGTGATCGTTTTAAAGGTGCTGATGGTATCTTGATTGCTACCTTAGGGTATGGCCTTAACGAATACCCTTTTCTTAACTCAGATCATGGGAGATATAGGCCTATTAAAGTTATTGAGCAACATCTAGCAGTTCTAAGTCCTGAAGATAAGAGTCAGAAGTCTGAGAAAACTTACGATCATTGGATCACTTCTCCTTGGATTATAAACAGCTACACAAAAACATCTGACTTTATTGTGTGCCAAACAACAGACCCTGATGGATTCATTGTTAATGGTGCTACTGCAAAAGCTCTTAAGCAGCTGAAGTTAATCTGGGATAAAAGGAAAGGAAGTTATGACAACCTCGTAGTCCTAATACCATATGGTGGTCAATACATGGAGGATGAAATGCAAGAGATATATGAAGCCACAAATGAAGGTATAATCATTGTTTGTGCTGCTGGAAGAGAAGGAGGCGATGTGGTTTTTCCTGCTGCTTTGGGTTCAGTTATCTCTGTGGGGGTGGCTGGGACTGGACCAAAAGGCAGAGAAATTGATGTGTCTATAGACTTTGAAACTCGACCGGCAAGACTAGTCAACTATGACAAGAAAGAAGTAGAATTACCAAGAGATTGTGGCATAGCAGCTGCTAGAGTTGCTGGTCTTATTTCTTTACTACTCTCTCGTATCAATTCGATCATGAAGGAACCAGGAAAATACACCGACAATCCCATAAAAAATATGGCTATGCACATTAGAGATTCAAAACCCAATTTTTTACACACCTATGTGATCCGCGAGTTGATAGTTAACGAAGGCAATGGATCCCATGATCCACAGCTTGGATATGGAGATGGTGAGCAAATTATACTATCACTTTTAGAGATGGATCCAAGCTTTTTAATTCAGAAGCTGGCTAATATAGTTTGTGGTCAAATGAATACTGAAAAAGTGGATGAAACGGATGGTGACAAAATCAAAGAAACAAGTGAAAAGTTCCATGATCTCAAAGGGAAAAATATTCATGTGGGAATAATTGATGATTTTAAAGTTGCACCGCCTTCAGATTCAATCGAAAAGTTTAAATGGCAGCCTCATCCAAAAGATTTACATGGCGACAAATGTGCTATGGTGTTAAGAAATGTATCTTCAGAATGCCAAATATGGTGTCTCAATATTCGTACTCCTGGTGTAGATTCAATAGTTAAATTTTTTGAGGACTGCATATCTGAAGAATACAAGACAATTGATGTCATCTCATGCTCTATGGGGATCCCTTGTTTTCATCTTGGTCTGTGTACAGCAGTTGATAAAGCAGTCCAAGCTGGTAAGATAATTGTTTTTGCTGCCGGTAATTGTGGGTTGAGTCAGCAAAATTCGATTTTCTATCCTGGTCGAAATGGCAATATCATTGTTGTTGGAAGAGGAGATGGATTTTACAATCGTGCTAGATATAGTTCTGCTGGAAGAGAAATGGATTTTCTTGCTCAAGTGCAATGTGTTAAACCCAACAAGGCCTCTTCAGGCACGTCATTTGCAGCTCCAGTCGTAGCTGGATACATCGCATTATTGCTTGAGTTTATACAGAAGGAGATGGAATATGATAGGATAGAAGTTTGGTCTGGCAAAAAATGGGAGAACATACCAATATCTAAAGCAGCTCGAAATGTATATGCAATGCGTGCCCTTTTGAAGTTACTCGTTGTAAAACCACAAGTTCATTCAGAAACTGAAGGATTTGGTTGTCTCAATTTCTCTGCGCTCTTTCCTGAGTATGCTTCTGATGGTTTGGAACAAAGTGATGCAAAAGCATTCAGCACAGAACTAGCCAAAAAAAAAATACGCCAAGCACTGAAAAAATTTTACAAAAGGGACATTAATTTGGTTGCTGTTTAGATAGTTTTGTTATTTTAGACATGTGTGAATGTTAAGTTTTTTTATTAATTATAGTATTAGGCATGTGTGAATAATTTAGTCATGAGATTTTGTTTTAACATTTTTATGAATGTTTTTCCTAGTGTTAAAATGTGTGAATTTGATTTTTAAAATGATCATTTTTACAAATAACTAAGTACCTATATAACATGGAGTTTACATAAACTTCTTCAGTTTCTCTTTATAGAGTACCAGTAAAGAATTTCTTCAACATTAATATCATAATAATAGTTATTGTTATTATGACAAAAGAATTAATAATAATAATATTAAAGTTAAGTTCTCTTATGCAATACTGCTGGCATTAGAAGCAATCCTCGGCCAAATATCAGCACATTCCTTAGCCACTGGACCAGCTACTGTTGAACCTAATCAATAAAAATAGTGCAAATCATAAAACATATGTATCAGATATTGTATTTAAAATGGGGATAATTCTGAAGCTGTTTTTTCGGGAAAAACCACAGGTATTTTTCAGAAGTCGGCTCGTTTTTAAAATGTTCAGAACTTTTAAAAGTTGAAGTTGGAATCAGCTCAAACTTTCTACAGAGCAAAAGGACATCAATATGTATCAGAAAATGTAATAAAAAATTGGGATGATTTCGGAGCCATTAAAAAAACCATGGGCTATAATAATATAAGGTATTTTTCAAAAATTGGCCCATTTTAAAAAATTGCCATAACTTAAAAATTTCTTATCGGAATCAATTCAAACTTTTTACACAGCATAAGTACATCAATATGTAAAAGAAAATGTAAAAAAAAATTGAGATAATTTCGGAGCCATTTTTTGGAAAAAAAAAACCATGGGCTATAATAGCTTTGGATATCTTTCAAATAAAGTGGAGTCATACCTTTCATTTCTCCTTTGACATTCACAATAACACCAGCATTATCTGATAAAGAGAATGAAAA